AAGTGTTTGTTTTTCATGCATTTTGTCTTGAGATTAGGGTTCTCTATTGTTTGATTTTTAGTCTTGCCACACACACCCTAATTACTAGAAATTATATTGAAAGCGGTAAATTGCGGAAATGTAAATTTTACGCTATTACATCTTTTTTTTGGATGGGGATACAAGTTTATGAATGGGGGATGAAAGCAATAAAAATATTGAATGAAATATAAAGATAATGTAAAAAAAATATACACTTATGCATTGATACGAAAACTTTTCATGTAATACAACCATATTGAATATTGAATGATAATAAAAATATAAAGAAATATAAAGATAATGCAAAAAAAATTGTTTTTAAAAAACTTTTATGTATTGACACATACACTTATGCATTGATACGAAAACTTTTCATGTATTGAAACATGCACTTATGCATTGGCTCATATCTGTTTTGTATTGACACATGTCCTTATGCATCGATACATATCATCTCTTTTCTCTTGGAAATCAAAATCAACTCAGATGAGTCGACACATAAGGGTTTGTATTGACTCATACTGCTTTGTATCGACACATATGCATTTTGTATCGACTCATAACCATTTCTTGCTCTTGGAAGTCAAAAATAACTCAGTATGAGTCGACACATAAGGGTTTGTATCGACTCATACTGCTTTGTATCGACACATATGATTTTTGTATCGACTCATAACATGTTTTGTACATAATATATGTCGACACATAGAGTTATGCATTGACTCATACTGCTGTTTTTTACTCCTAACATTGTTGTGCTACATGTAAAAGTCAGTTCTCAACACATGGTTAGTGAAAATGAAAAGAAAGCATATGGTTAGCTTCAAGGTAATGATATCTACATTTTATCTTCACAAATGGACCACTAATAATTTTTGTATGAAGAGTTCAAAGTCAAGAAAACTTACCTTGAAACTGAAATTTGTGTTTTGATTTTGAGTTGGAGAAGTCAAGTTACAGGTGGTTGTTTTTGAGTTTGGAAAATAGTGATGTTACAGAAGTTGTTCTCGAGTTTGAACAACTTCTATATGATGTATGTGGAGTGTTTGGATGGTTTGTTTGGACAGAACTTGTAAGGTCTGAGAGGTTCAAAGATTTAGACTTCAAAACTCAAGAGTAGAGGTTTTATAGACAATTATGATTTTTTGAGAGTATGAGGGGTTTTGAGTGCTAGTTTCTCTTTATTTCTCTAGACCATTTCTCTTGTAAATGCTCCCTCTATTTATAGGTAGGAGGTTTGGGAACAAGAGCTGATTAGGTTTGCAAAACAACATTTTATGGTTTGGTTGGAATGCAAATATCAAGTTATGCAAAGTCTTCCATGGTCCCAAGATGAAGTACCAAAGTTGTTGGTATATAGGGGCTACTTTCCATGATTTATGGTGGAGTATAATTAGAAGTAAGCAAGGTATGGGCTCAAGACAACTTTTGTAGCAAAAGCTTGCTTTTCAAGAATAGCAATGGTGCCTTTATGCTATAAATGGAAAGATCTTTTGGACAATGGCTCAAACGCTTGGGTAATATCTCAAGAGTAGGTGTAAGCATTAAATTATGGTGAGATTGTCAAGTTATAAGGCCTTCAAAACAAGATTATGTAGCATAGCATGTAGATTGGATCACGTGTTCTTCACCAAAAAAGACTTGTAATTCAAGGATGGATGCCCAACTTCATGCCCTTGAATCTCCTAGCTTAAGTATGATAAATTCATGCTCTTGGATTTTTTGGAAAGATTGAAACATCATCTATAAATTTCATGTTGGCCATTTTGACAAAATCATCTTGGAACTATGTGAAAAAATTCCAAAAAGTTGGGATAAAATCCTGACCAAAATCTGTTGAAAATTTCTCTAAGTGTTAGATGAAAATGTCATGACTTCAGGAATTTATAACTCAAAATATAAGCACTTCTAGGACTTGATCAGCAAAGCAGAGATATAGATCTCATCAAAATCTATAACTTTGATGTTGAAAGTTTTCTTTGAATCATCTTGCATCTTGATGAAAGATTGGCATGAAGTTATGAAATTATCATGTATGAAAACACTTAGAAAAATTTCTAAGTCTTGGAAAGTTTGACTTTTCAAATTGACTTTTGACTTTCTTGATTTCTTGATGATCAAGCTTCATATTTTTGAATGTCTTGATGAAATATGATCTTTAAAATTAAATCTTGACCAAAAAATTAAAGTTTGACTTTTTGTGCATCAATTGACTTTTCATTAGTTGATCAAATTTCAACTATCGATCCATTGATCTTGGGAGATGAATGAAATTAGGTTAAAATTATGTCCTTGAATCCTTGATATTATGTTCCAAATCAATAATTTATGTATTAAGTCAAAAGTCATGAATCAGTCATTCTTAGTCAAAATCCTAATTTTGACCATTTCGCCCTTTTGATGATTTGAACATTTTTCTTGAGGAATTGTGATCCAAACTTGATCAATTGATTCATATGACTTCAAAATGTTGATATTGGTTAAAAATATTAAAGTTTGGCTGTAAGTTAACCACAATTGACTTTTTATCCAATACAACTGCTTTTCAGTCATCTGAGCAATTGACTGAGTAAACTTGTGATCCAAGACATGAAACTTGACATGAGTAATCTTGGAGGTCCATTATGATCCATGAAACTCATTTGAGGAATTAAAATTTCAATTTTCCTTGTGCAAATCAAAACCTTAATTTGAGGCATTAGTGTTGAGGAGATGGCTTGATCTAGTCAACACTTGTGCAAGCTTGAGCTATTGAAGATCTTGTGAGAAATATCATGAGAAAAGAGAGGGAAAATTTTGGGGTACAACATTCACCAATCTAAGATTTTCTTAAAATGCTTGGACTTTGCTCTTGAGCATCGGGAAATTTGTTAGCTGTATTGATAGTGACCAAGGGTGAAGGTGGAAATGCATGATATGCAAATGTATGAATGTACGAAAATGTATGAGTATGCAAAATTATTTTTTTGGCTTTTGGGTATGCAAAAAAGTTTCATGGATATGCAATGCAATGCAGACGTAGTATGAGGGTAGACGTAGGGGTACCCTATACAAGTTTAATGGTAGATATGAAAATGATGATGTCCTACACTGACTTAGAGATTGAGACAAGCAAGAATTCCTTAAGGATTATGGCCAACAGAGGACGACGAGGAATCCCTACAAGCTTGGGATTATGACAGAGGGAGCCCTATGGGCCAAAGATAGTAGTGGATAAAGAGATAATGCTTGCGGGTTTAGGGATTGTAGTGGGGTTTGAAAGGTATCCTTAGAATGTAGGTTCCTAGTTTCGGCCTACGGATAGTCTACCCTCCCTATAAGGTGGTTTCCTTAAGGGTGTCATGAATAACACTAGAGGGAAAGGCACAAGGGCCTTCTTTAAGTGGAGCCTCTTTGTAGACGGAAACTTTCGTCTCTAGGTCATGAAAGGTCTCGTCATGAGATTTTGTTTTAAGGGTTGTACAAAGAGTCATATGTGTCATTTCAAAGTCCTACTTCCCAAGAGGATGTCTCTTGAGAGGTATTCCTTTCGCGGAATTCTACCAACTCTAGGCGAAGTCGTCACATAAACTCATAGCGCTGATGTATCCCCTTGGCTAATAGACGAACCTTCTTTCTAAGGATTTTTGAAAATATTTTTTGTAATAATAAAAATCCCACCATGAATAAATATTATAATAAATACAATAAATAAAACAAAATAAATAAATAAAATAAAAACAAAAAATTAGAAAACACCAAAACCCTAAACCCAAAATAAAAGAAACTAAACCCTAGATTTGGAGTCCCCAGCTGTTGTAACTAAATTTTAAATCGAGTCGCCACTACTAGTTTTTATCCTAGGGAAGGAAATTTAATAAGAAACCCTAATTTTGTACACAGAGAATCTAGGTTCTACTTTGTTTTAGACTAAGGGAATGTGTTAGGCACCCCTCATCTACCTTGTTCACAAGGATACCAAGGTTTAGGTTTTAAAGGTTTAGGGTAAGTGTTTTAATTTTTTAATAGAGGAACTCGCCACGATTTTGGTCGTATGCCTACGTATCCTCTTATGAGGAATCATAGTCTATATTCGTAGTTCGTAGGGTTGATTGGTGTTTTGTATAGGATTGCATAGAATTGCTTGCGAATTTATCCTTGAACATTGTCTGAGTTTTGTAAAAGAGTGATCGTAGACGCAATTCATAGTATATTTTGAAAAAAAATCTCCTTAATCATTTTTCGAAAACATCTTGTTTTTTTAATAAGTTAGTAAAAAAAATTGATTTGAATGTTGGTTAGCCATATTAAGACGTAGAGCGGGAGTCTGATATAGTCTCCTTATCACGTGGCCAGATATTGGCCACGTGTCGCTTGCGGATATAGTAATTTGTGAGTTGCGTGAATTTTAATTGTTTTATTTTGAATAATAAACTGATAGACGATGTGTCGACTAATTTAATTGCTCGAAGATGAATATCCCATTATTTTTAGATTGGTTGAATTAATTATTCTGATTTGTAAAAGTGTTGAATATGTACATATTTATGATTCTACTTACAAGTGATTAAAGTGTGTTTATTTATAAGTTTAATTAACCAACTAACTAAACTTTTTTGTGAGGATATTTTCATGTTTTATAAATCTATTTAAGAGACTTAAGTTAAAAATTAAAAAAATAAATAAATTAAAATAAATTATCAAGATAACAACTTAAAGGGGGTGTAATAGAAATATAGAGAAGTTAAGAGTAGGAGACGGGCCTAAATCCCAAATATATAAGATATTGGTCTAAACCTAAAGAAATAACCTAAATAAATAATTAAAAAAAGGAAAATATCATGATAATGATGATAAGGTGAACGTGGGGCGGGGGTCTGCCGCCTGTACTAGTTTTCCAGTCTTCAATTTCGACAATATTGAATTTTCAAACCTTATGATGAGCTAATACGATATGGACACGTGGAAGTGCAATTTAAAACAAATGAGTAAACAATTAATCAAATTAACCAAAATAAAAGTGAGAGATTATTATCAGTAACAAAGAAATTTTCTCTCTCTCGCGTTATTCTCTGTTTTTTCTTCAATCTTCTTCCTCCATTTTTCAATAAAAGCTCATAGAAAACAAACAGAACGTACCGAAAAACAATAGAACAAAAAGTGCACAAATCGCATACAAGATAAAACGAAAGAAAACAAACGCAAACACTTGGATCCGAAGAGCTGCCGACTGAGGAGAATTGTGCGAGCTTGCGAATGGCAGATCGAAATAAGGGTTGTCGTGGTGTGTTGTTTCGGAGCGGTGGTGACAGCTTGATACACGGAGCGATTGGCGGAGAGGGGCGATTCCGAGGCGGAGGCGGAGATCCGGAGGGCTGCGGTCGGTACGGCAGATGCGAGGCCATCGTCGAATAAGGCAGAGCACGGTGAGGGCTTCGATCGGAGCTTCTTGTGTGTGATTTGCGGCGGATTTGAGCGGACCGCACGGCTGTTAGCGGTGAGGCGTGTTGTTAGAGTTTTCTTTGCGATTCGACACTAATGGTTAAGAGAATAAAACTACATGATATTTTTATCATTGATTTATTTGGAGTTTTATGACATAATTTGCATATATTGTTGTTGTTGTTAATGATTTGAGATTTGATTCATCACAAGTCAGTGCTTGGCCGTGGTTTAAGTAAAAAATACAGATATGTTCAAAAGCTTTCTATAGGATATCAAAAGAGAGATTAGAAATTAGGTGTGGCTGTTTAGATGAAAAGTGATGATACTAATTTAATTTTAAAAATATCTTGGAAAAGGTAATGAACAAAAATGTTGCAAGTTGTGGGGTTAAAACGTGGATGGGAGTTAGAGGCAATTGTTGTGAATATACAGTATTAGAATGATATGTATCGTGAGTGATGTGTAGGATGTTTTTATGTTTATTCTTCCAATAAGAATCAAGAATAAAATAAATAGTTGACAATTTTTTTACAAAAAATAAAATGCAATAATTTAAAGGGATGCAATAATTTAAAGGGATGAGCTTCATGTTAAATTAATTTAGATATATGTTTGTCTAATGATTAATTTGTTAATCATCGGTCAAGAATAAATATAACATCAATTGAAGAATTTTTTTTTTGAATAACTATGTATTAAATTTTATTTTTTTTGTAAATAATCAGGTTTCGAAAAAAATTACGCAAATAACCATGTTTCAGATAATTCCCCAAGGGAGGAGCCATCTCACTTGGCGCTTACACCTAAGTTTTAAGGGGAGGCGCCATCTCACTTGGCGCCTAGGTGTTAAGGGCTTGCCATAAGCCAAGAGAGATGGCGCCTTAGTGTAATTGAAAGACAAATTTTCGTGTTTTTTTTTAATGTGGTGCGTTACGTATTCGATATAGGATCAACAAAATTGACTTTTTATTTATAAAATATGATTACACACATAACTATTACATGAAAAAACAGATTAATCAGTGGTCCCCCAGAACCCGGTAATGACCCCCGGTTATGCATCCCCGTCCTCGCCTTTCCCGTGCTGGGTTTCGTCGCGTTTCTTATTGTGGCAGGGTCGATGGCCCATCGAAGTCAATGCGTTCCGGATCCATGAAATCAGTCAGATCTTCATATCTAGAAGATCCGCTTTGGTACAGTCGGTTACCCATACCCTTAAAGTTTAGTCGTGTTGGTGGTGGGTGGGGTTCCATGGTTGGTCTGTAGCACTGGTCGTTTGAGTACGGGGGGTAGAAAGGAAATGGATCTTGGGGTGTTTGGTATTGAGGATGTTGGGTGGTTTGATGATGTTGTGGTTGATGGTAAGTTGGGTCAGTTGGTTCATAATCTTCGGACAATCCCAGATCAGGGCTAAGGTTGGATGTTGAGGGGCCCATATTGGGATATGCAGAAGACTGAAATTGTGTGTGGGGTATGCGGGTGTGTTGGTATTGTGATTGAAATTGTGGTTGGGTGTGAGGCATATGGGGGTATTGGTACTGAGGTGGTGATTGTGGTGGTTGTGGGGCATATGGGTGTAATTGTATTGTGGTGGTGATTGTGGTTGGGTGTTTGTGGTTCTGTTTCGTCGGGGGGTTTGTGGGAGGTTAATGTGTGTTGGGTTTGTTGTTGGGGAAATGAGGGTTGTGCCCATTGTGTTCGTGGGTCAACCAAATACCTTGGATGAGACATGTGGGGTACTAACCGATCTGTACCAAGATAAATACTTATCTGTGTGTCGCATATTACCATGGTTGATGAAAACTAAGAATTTCAAGATATGTCGGTGACGCCTCTGCCACATCTTACACTATTCTGAAGCAAAGTCTTTCCAGTTGGTAAGACCCCATTGGGCGTCGATCCTTTTGAGATGTGTGATCGGTGGATCTGGAACTGACTGTTTAACGCTGGTTCGCGAAATGTCGCGGAAGCAAGAGTCGCCACCGTCTTTTATTTTCTCCAAATGGAAAGGACAAAAGCACAGAAAAATTCCTTAAAGAGATTGCTCTCGGTTCGGGAGGTAGGTTATAGAAAGGGAAGGTGTTAGCACCCTTTCTATCCATGGTTATCCATGGGCTCTTAGATACTTGCTCATTTGTGTTTTCAAAATTGGTTTGTTTGCTTTTCAACTGTGGGTTTTAAAAAAGTTTCTTTGAAAATTCCAGTTCGACTCTTGTATCGGTCCTCAAGAGTGTTTGAAAAGTTGCTTTCGAAAGCTTTTGAAAAGGTGTCGGTGTGAAAAGTATTTTTGATTTGTTTTGAAATTAGAGAAAGTATCTAGAGTCGTCTACCTACCCTAAGGAATTCGTCTGTGTAGATGTCCTTTAAAGTAGTGCCATCCCACCATTGAGAGGTAGGTAGCACCACCGTTGGAGGTGTTCGGGTCAATTCGAAGGTTCGGGACATGGTGATCACCAGAGCAATGGGAAGACACCTTAGAAGCTACCCTCATGCCAGGTTCCCGGATCATGAGGACTTACTAAGACATCCTCTACTCGACGATCACCTTTCGAGGCAAGGCAACAGTGAGGCGTACCCTAGGGGTGGTGTGTGCGATTCGTGTGTCGTTTTCATTTGCATTTATCTCGTCATGTTATTGGTGTTTCTACGCTTGTTTTTATTTTATCCATACATTCTTTCATGTCATTTGATTAACAGTTAAAAGTTGCAAGGAAAGTAAATTCTAAGCTATTACAAATGGCGCGGGTCCACATCGCCAAAATTAACCAGGACCCGATTTGACAGAAAAATAAAGAAAGTAAAAGTGCGAGAAATATAAAATGTCCGAGTTACATGGCTTGAGCAATTACATAATATTTGAAAGAAAATAAATGTGCGAAAGAAATAAAAATAGAATGTTCGAGGGCGTTGGACCCTTTAAAGAAATTAAATGAAATTAAAAATTAATTAATTATTTATTGAAATAAAAGAAGTGTTTTTTAGGTTTTTTTTGTGAAAATAAATTAATTAATTTAAAACAATAAAATAAATAAATAAAACAACAAAAATAAGGATAAGAAGAAAAATATAAAAAATGCAAACCAGGGTGGGGTAGTCCCCAATTCAGGAGGTATAAATTTGAGAGGCCTGGCCCAATAAGCTGGAAATTGGTTGACTTTTTGGATCATGCGTAATGCATTGACTGGCGTATGGTATGTTCTCTGCACTGGAGCCATTGATCTGCATCCATTAGGCACGTGGACTTTTGGATCTTGACACATATGGTGCGCCTCAACGCTTATGCTGCATGGGATCAATTATTGAAAAATAATATTAAGCATTTGCCAGACCTGGGACTTGAACCCAGGTCTTGAGGATTATTCATGTCACATGTTACCAACTGCGCTGCTGTATTTCATTTAACATATAATAAACAATAAATAACATAAGAAGAACACGTGAGCGCTTTTGGAAATTCGCGCGAAATTCAAAAGATCCAATCACGTTCAGACACAACTTCTTCTTCTTCGTTTTCCTGAAACATGAAACACATGGGCAACGGTTTTTGGGCGTGGTTTTAGGCAGGCAACGGAAAAATAGCGACTAGCGCTATGATGTATATAAATTGGGCGCGAGGGTCAAGACTTCTTCGTCTTGATGTGCTGAATCCAGCCATGGCCATCTTGAGCCCTAATTTCACTTGGTTGTGAAAGCCCCAATCTGGGAAACCTGTAACCCTAAAAATCGCATATGGTGGAATCGTGTATGATCAATGAAAACGCAATTAAACACCACAGTTAGCTTTAGAACATTAATATGAACATGAATCAACAAAGAAAAATGCATAAAGATGATGGAATCATGCTGTGCGATTTCAAAAATTCCAAGGTACAGTTGGACTTAGGGGTACCAATTCAGGGCCTTTTGATTGATGTTAATGATTGAGGAACGTTCAAGGACGTCTCAGGATGATGATGGAATGAAAATTTGTGCTTGAATCGCCCTTGAAACTGGTTTTCAGTGTTTGAGTTTTTTGTGAAAAATTTCAATATGCCAATGCTTGTTTGGGCGCAGCTTGCAGTCTAATCCCATTAGGGTTATGATTCTGAGTATGTATAGAGCATGCTAGGTCAAAAATATTGCACAAAATCTCAAGCATTCATGGTTTTACATATTTGATTTTATGAAATCTTTTTGAATCTTTTCCATGTGCATTTGTGTCAATTAGGTTTCAATCAAGCCAAAACCTTCTATATTAGCATGTGCACGAAATCTCAAGTTCAAATCATGCATAAAAAGATTTGTTTAGGTTAAGTTTATATTTTTCATGTATTAAAATGATTTAAATGAATATAAATTAATATAAATTCAAATAAATAATTAAAAAATATGAAAATACTTCCCTTTGGGCCTAGTGGTCGTGCATAGGCTTGGCATGAAGAAACTTGGAAGAAAAATGGGCCCATTTGCATTTTTAGGCCTTTTGCATCAATGTTGACTTTTCAAAATTCCTAAAAATTTCCCAACTTCCACAAGGCATAACTTGGTCAATCTTTAAGCTTTTCACATGTTCTTGGACATTTTGGAAAGGTCTTTGAATCCTTTAACCAATGCCTTTGGTCCCATGTCATTTTGATTTACCAATCTCAAGTTATGGCCTTTGACTTAAAGTCACTTTTTGTTGACTTTTGAAAATGACCTATAATGTTGAAATTGACAACTTTTTGTGAGAGCATTTCTTGGACTTGGAACATGAAGATGAATTGTAGGAAATGTCTTTCTCTTCAAAATGAGCTTTGGATGGAATTTTTCTGATGATCCATGTGAAAGTTATGCCCTGGTCAATTTCAGTTGACTTTTTCAGCTGTCCAAATATAGCAACTTTTGCATCTTTGGTGATTTCTGAGCCAAATTTTGAGAATCATGATCAAGCATTGATCAAATGATGTTTGTGGCTTCAAAATGATATGTTGACCAAAAA